TGGAATGGATGTTGTACAACCTGTAGAGCTAGAGATACCTTCTCTACGCATTGCGTTGGAAAGTAAACTCGATGAAGTCGAATGGATTAGGGCAAGATATGAAGAGCTAATTCTACTCAATGAAAAACGACTAGAAGCTCTACATTATACTCAACGCTATCAAACCCATATGGCTAGACACTTTAATAAGAAGGTCAAGATAAGAAACATCAAAGTAGGAGACTTGGTGTTAAAAGCACTAAGGAAAAATGTTTTGGATCCAAGAGGCAAATTTAAGCCTAATTGGTCCGGACCATATATCGTCAAAACCATTATGTCAGGAGGTGCAGCAAAACTAACTGATATGGATGGTAATGAGTTCTCAAACATGACGAACCTTGACCAACTTAAGAAGTACTACCCATAATTACTTGAGTAGGACACTCAAGAGAGCTACGTTTGGCCTGATTCCTTAGGAAAGGATACATAGGCAACCCTTTACAGGGTGCGACCACTTTAATTTTCACAAATCTCGCATCCCAGCATCAACAAAAATTTGCTCAGCATCAACGCAAAATAAAAGTCTGTCACCAAACGAAGTGCAGCGCCTGGTGACAGACTTAAAATCGCGGCGCCAATTTTCTGCGATTATCTGGAGAAATTTTGGTGTATTGCGGAAAATTTTCGACTTCCGTACTCGAGAAATTTTCTGGAAAATAATTTAAGTGGTTTTCATTGCTTTAATAAATTAAAAATGTTGATTTAATTTAAAAAGCTGAAAATGGCATTAATAAAATAAAGTAAAATTACATTATTGATGGAATTTAAATAAAAGCTTAATAAAATAAATTGACTTAAAAATTAAACTTGTCTATTAAATTGGAAGTTAAGCAATGCTTCAATCTTTCTTCACTTTCTTTGCTCTTTTCCAATTCTTGTCAGCTTTTTCCTCATCATCCATTACTTTAGCTAGTTGGCATGCTTTAGAGGACCTACATTCAATCTTGGAGTGAATAGTTTCTCCTTTAACTAGGACACCATGTTTCTTTTCCGCCCAAACTTTCTATTCTGAAGAGACAACTTTTCTTTTCTCTTTGCCTTTAGTAGTGTCCTTCTTCTTAGGCATCGTAGGTGTTTTGAACTGAACTCTTTCACCTAAGCGTTCCTTAACATGAGTTATCTTGTCACCCAGACGATTCTTCACATTGGTTCTACTTTGATCTTTCTTCTTGTCCTTTTTAGGCTTATTAAGAAGCCAATTCTTCACATCATTGGTCAAAGAAGGAGGAACCTTTTGGGTAACCACTTCCCATAAAGGCCTAGCACTCCAATAAGTGTCAAACCTCTCTACTTCTTGAGAAACAGGGAATTCATAGGGATGACGAAGATCTCCAGAAAGGAATTGTTTGAATAAGACTGTACTGCCTTTTTACCCTGCAGGGATAATAAAAAGTCATCTTGGTTAAGCTTGGAAGACGGTAGAAAGGTTGGTTGTTGACACTAACCATCTTCTTAATATTCCATTATGGGATGACCCACTTGATAGCAAAATTACGAGAGACGAATATTTTGCTCCACTCATGGCGACCCATCTTTATAGAGAAGCACTTCTTTTGCCTCACAAAGCAGTTTGGAGTGTATTTTTCAACATTGTCAGGAGGACTAATGAATTCTAGTCTCTCCATTAGCCACATCTACAAAAATTCAATGCAAATAATTAGTATTATTATACAAAAATATATGTTTTTAATTTTTATAATTAAAAATATTATTTTTCTACCTTTAATAAAATTGGAGAGCCCAGAAGGGGTGCCTTTGGATTTTTCTTTAATTCATCTAGACTAAGCATAGTTTCTTCAACAATTAATGACATTGGATTCCTTCCAGATTCGATTTGTTCCAAGACAGATATTATAATTGCTTGACCCTCATTATTTCTACCACTAGTGAGAAGGTATTGGTTAAGCATGCAAAAGAGAAAATCCCTTCATCTATAAACATGAATAGACTCAGAATTACCGCAAATTCTTTTAGATTAACTACGTTACCATCTACAATATTTGTTAGATCTCTGTCTTTTAGATTAAAGAAGCGCTCAAAAACTTTATAATAATACTCACTCACTTTAGGAATTACCACAAGATCTAATGAAAGAAAGCCTAGAATGACACCAAATTCTTCCGGTAAAGGACTAATTTCATCATAGCCCAGTCTAAAGCAATGAGTATCTGGATCCCAATATTCTAAGGCAATATGAATAAAATCTATGTCAATATCTACTCCCTTAATACCATAAATACCTCCCAAGTGGAAAAAGTCAAGTTCTCCTTAGCAGTCAAGGATCGACACCACTCACGAGTAAAATCGCTAAAACTCTTAGTGACTAAAGACATGATTACTTGTTGAAAAACTAATGTTATAATTAATGTTAATCTGTTTGAATTATAAATAAATCGACAGATTAGGGGGCTATTTATGCACAAAACTGGTACAGTTCGACTCCTAAAAAGATTCAGAGGAAAACAGTGCAGCGCCAGACGACAAATTCGTCGCCTGGCGACGGGAGCAACGTCGGGCGAAGACATGCAGCGCCCAGCGACGCAAAGGCGGTGCAACGCCAGCTCAACGCCCTATGCAAACCGCGTTTCTTCTGACTATGATTCGAATTTATACAATGACTTTACAATTGCGCCCCTTGTTCAAACACCCTATACACAAAATTCAATATATTTTTTCCTTTTTTCTTGAATTTAATCGAGCTTAATTAAATTTAGGCTTATTTTAGTCCAAACTAAATTAATTTTCATTTTTTCTTTTTAGGAGAGAATGTCAGATACCCTCCATCAATAATGAAAATGACGAAATTTTTTGCGCAAAATTAATCACAAATATTTTTGCACACACGCATATGCACATAAAATGGAAAATAAAAGGCAAAGATAATACATACATAATATATAATAGTTTGTATATACAATATGTCTAAAATATAAGTCATATAATACAAACCGGTAAAGTCCTACAAAGTTTAAATAAATAATAAGTACAGGTACAACTATGGTGCCGGAGGGCGCAGATGAGGAGGCACGTTCATCATATCAAAGAACATCGCAGACCGAGGAGTATGCTCCTCACCAACTCCAGAACTGCTAGTAGGCGGGAACCTCAAATCAGGGCCAGTCCACCCAGGCTCACCCTGGTACTGGATCGACAAAGGCTGAGGCTGTTGTGGCTGCTACGACGACGAGTCAACCTCGTACGTCTCACCATCCATCAAAGGAGACGATGTCGCGCCTCCTTGGCCCACCGGCCTAGTCTGTGCGCCTTCAGATGAAGAACTCAAACCCTTCAATGTCTCGGTACGAGCGGCATCAGATCGGACACCCCGGCCACCAAAAGCAGTGCGGCGACGCCTCGAGCCAGACCTGGACGGCTCTCTCTTAGCCTTTGGTCTCGTCCGACTATGTGGTGAAGGAATCGACTGTCCTTGCAAAATTAAACCAAGTCAGATGCAAAGAATATATGAGGATAAACAATACAAAATAAAGAAAAAGAGATACCTCCTCAGCAATGTTGTCACAACGACAGGTAGCTCGGTTCCTCATCATCACCAGCTGCTGCGAAAGGCGTCTATACAACTCGCCATCGCTGTCACCACCTCGCGAGAGAATTGTAAAAACAAGGTTAGTAACAATACAAGACAAGTACAAATAAGTAGTAAACAGGTAACTCACTCAAGTCTGGTGACGAGGAATAGACCGCTGGACAAAGCGCTGATCCTTAGGAGCTGGAGGAATCATCTCCTCAACTAGGTTGTACATCCCTTGGTAGTTGATAGACATCCGAGGAGGAACAAACTCTGTAGGCGTAGCCTGGAAAAAGGCAAATCCAAAGTGATTAAAATCCACTTGGGGGCTATCTAGCAAAAACAAAAGGATAAAAAGCATATCGCCGCCTCCTCGGATAAAGCAAGGACAAAAATTAACAGTGGCAGCAGTTACAACATTTTTTTGTATTTTGCAAGTCGCTTAAGTCTGCGTAGTTGTCATATCTCTTGTTTGAATTGACCATGATGTTTGGATAGATAGTGAAGTAGTTGCAATTAATGGTGAAAATATAATGGTCTTTTATTTTGATATATGGTGAGTGTTGAATTGCCTAGTCTCATGGCATATATCTTAATGTATATATATAGCTTTGATTGTAGCAGAAATGTTTATTTAAAGTAGGTTTCTATGAAGCCTCTCTTTAAAACAGTGCACAAGTGTGCAAGTGTACATGCATGGCTGCTTACTTTCCACTAGATTACTTTTAATGTTCATCTTTGTTTATATGTTTTTTTTTTCTCCAATTCAAGGATTTCATGTTTATTTTCAATGATAATTTTTGTCCTATTTTGTGATAATTAGTGACTAAAAAATGGTTTGTTAGTTGTTGATTTTGTAATTTTATTACTTTTGAGAAATATTAAGCCAAATTTTTTATTTGATTGTGAAATTGTTGCTTGTACTAGGATTTCTGTATTAGACATAGAATTAATATGAACTTAGGTTGTAAATTTGTGATTAAGACCTCTCTAGAGTTGCTAACAATAAGGTCTTATCACAATTGAAAGTCCAAAGATTAACTAATCGTAATGGAGTACAGGTCGCATCAGGGAATTTTGTTGTTAAAGTGGTGACGCTTAGTCTAGCTGATCACCCTAAACGTGTGAAATTAATTGGGTACTATGATGAGGGTAATCAGAGGTTGTTGGTGTATAAGTACGTGCCACTAGGATCCTTGGAAAGCCATCTACACGGTACATAGGCGCCTCTGTGTGTGTGTGTGTTTTTTTTTTTTTTTTTTTTGCTACAGTAGTCCTTCTCTAGCAACTTTTTTTTCATATCCTAATGCATTTTTTGTATTCCCTTGATAATGAATGCTGCAGACCTCCAAAATAAGCAAAAGGCTCTTGATTGGAACAGAAGGATGAAAATAGCCGCTAAGGCGGCTAGGGCTTAGAATATTTTCATGACAAGATGGAGCCACCTGTAATATATCATGATTTGAAATGCTCAAATATCTTGCTTGGCAAGGGCTATCACGTTAAAGTGTCGGATTTTGGGCTTGCCAAAATGGGTCAAGTTGGAGGCAATATTCATGTATCGACTCGGGTAATGGGTATATATGGTTATTGTGCACCAGATTATGCAATGACGGGTCAGCTGACTTTTAAATAAATATATACAGTTTTGGATATCTAAGAGTTTAAGAGCAAAGTTAGTGATTATAATTAAAATCTTAGTCCCAGTTTGTTTACTAAATATGGAGTGTTATAATTAGAAGTACTATGTCATTTAGAGGTTATTGCTTTCCTTTTAATCCATTAATTATTGTCCATGATTCTATTCTATGTCAGGGTCCTGCTTTTACTGTCAAATCATGTATTGTTTGAATCAAGGCTTATCTCAAACTATGGGCTGCTAGTGTCTATCTTATGGAATATAGAAATAACAATTAAGCTTTGATAAATTGCCTTGAATTTTTGTGCATCCCTAGTAATTAGGTTGTATATTTACAATTATTGGTCACATGGCTGCTGTTATGAAGCTCTTTTGGTAATTTACAATTATAGGTCACGTGGTACATGGCTTCCTCAAAGTCACACATTCATTGGTGCAGGCTCATTATTTGCTTCCAATGGTTGTAGGCCCATTTGTTTTGCAATGGTCGGGGATCAGTGGCGGACTTGGGCTTAGACCTGGTGGGTCAAGTGACTCACCAGGCCCAAAAAAAAATTTTAAGTTATTTAAAAAAAAAAAAAAAAAAAAAAAAAAAAAAAAAAATTAAAATCAGTTACAGGAGACTTCAAGGCTTTCAAGCCCTAGCCTCTTCGTGCTCTTCATTCTTCTCTTCGTGAATCGTGACTTCTCCTTCTCCGCCTAATCGCCTCCATTCTTCTCTTCGTGAATCGTGAGTCGTGACTTCGCCTTCTCCGCCTAATCGCCTCCATTGTTAATCGCCTCATCTCCATTCTTCTGTTCGTGACTTCGCGTGACTTCGCCTCTTCGCTCATCTCCATTCTTCTCTTCGTGACTTCGCCTCTTCGCTTCGCCAGGCAGCCACCGTTCTCTTCGCCTAATCGCCTGGTAGTCGGACGTCGGTGACTCGGTGGTCGTGACTCGTGGACTCCGTCCTCTTCGTGAAATCACTACTCGAAACGTCGGTGCTAGTAAGTTGATTTCTAATTTTTATTTTTAATTTCTAATCTTCAAATTAATTCAGTCTAATTTGTTAATTTTATTAAACTTTGGTTTAAACTTTGGTAATTTGGTTGATTTGTTATTTTACTGTTGGGCGTTGGCTGTGTTGCTGATTGCTGAATGCTGAATTGGCGAATTGCTTAAAGTCGAGTGATCTACTTACTCCTATTTTGAATATCTTTCAGTGGCTTAGCTGCTTTTATTCTTTCCTATTCATTATGCTGTCTTTTATTGCATCGGCCCGTTCATAATCGAGCTATTAAAGACTATTGATCTTTGTTATTGTTGTAACAACTGATTTGCTAAGCTGGATGATGAAATGTGGTTGTCTGATGTGGTTATTGCTGTGATTACACTCCTGCAGTCCTGCTCCTGTGATCAGGAGAAACCCTGTTGCCTGTTTCTATCTACAATCTACTTGCTCATATTTGTATTTTATGCTTTGAGGATGTCACTGCAGAACTCAGTGGGTATCATCTTATCAAATGATCATAAATTATCAATTTATCAGCCTTCTTGGTTAGATCTTGCTATTATCTGGTATCCACATTTTTGTACGAGATTTCTCTTATTCGAGCCAATTTAAGCTGCCATAAATCATGCTATTCATTTTAGAGATAAAGGGGAAGAGAGTTTAATGTTTACTATCTAGATTCCCCAACCAATTTAGCTTCAGGATAGCTAGAATATCACTGGTAATATGTTTGTGGATGGTGACCTTAAGTATGTAGGTTTTTAAGTAAAGTCTTGATTCATGTTTGCACTTTTTACATCATATTTTATCATATATACTGTAAATTGGTCTTTTCTCAGAACAGTTATTACAGCTATCCACAAACCTTAGAGTTAACTTTTTTGTCTTGTGTTGCTCAACTGGAAGTTTTGTTTTGCTAGGCATTGAAGCAAGAGGTTTTATCTTTGGTCCCCCTATTGCCTTGGCTATCGGAGCAAAGTTTGTGCCATTGAGAAAGCCAAGAAAGTTGCCCGGTACTTACTCCCAAGCAAGGTAGGTAATCAACTAATCATCAATTGATTTTTTTTGTGAAATCTGTTTTGTGTAATTGTGTTTTGTGTAATTGTGTTTTGTGTAATTGAAATCTCTTGAACTTATTAGTTATTACTTATGTGAAATCTGTTTTGTGTAATTGTGTTTTGTGTAATTGTGTTTTGTGTAATTGAAATCTCTTAAACTTATTAGTTATTACTTATGTGAAATCTGTTTTGTGTAATTGTGTTTTGTGTAATATGTTTATGTGATTATGTCATTATGTGAAATTGCTTGATTTAGACCATTTAGTTGAATATTTATTCAAATAATTTTTCTGGGGAATATTGCTTGATTTAGTTCAATATTTATTCAAATTTCAGAATGAAGAGAAAACATACTCCAAATGAAATGCAAAACATTACTAGCTTCTTTGCTAAAAAAAATCCTACTCCAACTTCTCTTCCACATCCAACACAAAATGAACAAACTATAACTCCACCTCAACAAAGTGAGCAACTTTCATCTCCATCTCATTATTCAACTCAAAATTCCCCTCAAAATGAACAAGGCCAATGTTCTCCTAATGCCCCAATCTTTGGAGAAAGATTAAGTGAACATGAATTTGCTAATCTTCCACAAGATCCAGGAAAGAGGAGAAAAATGAGTAAATTTCATAAAGATGATAGAGATTTAGTGAGAAGAATTTACATTCAAAGAAAGCCTTGTCAGCCCAAAGACTTTACATTTCCTCAAACTTCTATTTTTGGCAAAAATCGTCGCTTTTGTGCTAAGTGGTTTGATACTTGGACTTGGCTTGAGTATAGTGTGGAAAAGGATGCTGCCTATTGTTTCCCTTGTTATTTATTCAAGGATGAAAATGCCTTTGGAGGTGATGCTTTTGTTAGTGATGGTTTCAAATCATGGAATCGATCGGATTTAATAAGAAAACATGTCGGTAAACACTTGAGTGCACATAATAATGCTGTTTTAGCTATGGATTTGTTCAAGAAACAAAATTCAAGCATCACACAAGCCTTAACAAAACAAACCGCTGAGAGTACAAATGCATATAGGACGCGACTTGAAGCTTCAATTGAATCTATCCAATGGCTTTTACTCCAAGGGTTGCCTTTCCGTGGTCATGATGAAAAAGAAAGTTCCTTAAGAAGAGGTAACTTTCTTTCACTTTTATCCCTTATTTCCAAAGGTAATCCTGAATATTCTAAAGTTGTTTTCAAAAATGCTCCTAGTAATTGTCAACTTACTTCTCCTAAAGTCCAAAAAGATATCATAAATGCATGTGCAAAAGAGACCACTAAAGCAATGCTTGAAGATATTGATGGTGGTTTATTTTCTATCCTTGCTGATGAGTCCGCTGATGTTTCTGACAAGGAACAATTGGCTCTTTGTTTGAGATATGTTAATAGAAAGGGAGAAGTGTGTGAGCGTTTACTTGGTATTGTGCATGTTGTAAACACTGCTTCTTTGACTCTCAAAACTGCTATTGAATCCTTATTAATGGAGCATTCTTTGTCTTTCTCTCAAGTACGGGGTCAGGGTTATGATGGGGCAAGTAATATGCAAGGTTCTATTAATGGCCTTAGGACTCTTATAGAGAATGAGTGTAAAGAAGCTTATTTTTTCCACTGCTTTGCTCACCAACTTCAATTAACTCAAGTTGCACTTGCTAAAAAGAATTCAGATTGTGCTTGGTTATTTGTTGATGTACTTGCACCTCTCTTGAATTTTGTGGGGGGTTCACCAAAAAGGAAAGAGTTTCTTCGTGAAAATCAAGCTCAAAGAGTGGTGGATGCATTGTCTCTAGGTGAACTTGAAACGGGTTCAGGTTTAAATCAAGAACGTGGATTAGGTAGACCTTGTGATACTCGTTGGGGATCTCACTTCAAGACAATCTTGAATGTACTTGATTTATTCCCTGTAATCCTTGGTTCTCTTGAGGATATTGCAAAAGTATCTGATACAATAGATTCTAATAGAGCTCAAACACTTACAAATCTTCTGATGTCCTTTGATTTTGTGTTCGTGGCACACTTGATGGTTAGTATATTTGCGATAACAAATGCTTTGAATGTGACTTACAAAAGCACGATCAAGACATTGTGAATGCAATGGCCATGGTTAATGTAACCAAGACTAATTTGCAAAAAATGAGAGATGAAGGATGGGATTCTCATATGGAAAAGGTAATTTCTTTTATTGGTGACTATGACATTGCAGTTCCAGATATGGAGGCTAAATATGTTGTTCCCGGGAGGAGGTTGTTTAGAGGTAAATGCCCACAAGTGTCCAATCTACATCATTTTCGAGTTGAAGTTTTTTTTGGTGTCATTGATCTTCAATTGCAAGAACTTGAAAATCGATTTCCCGAAATAACTAAAGAACTACTTGTGTGTATGTCTTGTTTGAGTCCTGTGGATCGTTTTTCTAAGTTTGATAAGGAAAAATTGATTAAGCTTGCAAAATTCTATCCTAATGAATTTCCAAGTTCAGAATTGATAGTCTTTGGTCATACACTTGATAGTTACATTTGTTCTGTTAGAGGAGATGAAAGGTTTTGGAATTTGAAGGGTCTTAGTGATCTTTCAATCAAATTGGTTGAAACGGGATTGTCTGAAACTCATGATAGGGTCTATTTACTTTTGAAATTGGTGTTGCTTCTTCCTGTCGCAACGGCAAGTGTGGAAAGAGTATTTTCTGGCATGAAGCAAGTGAAAGACAAACTACGAAATAGCATGGGAGATCAAATGTTGAATGATTGTTTAATTACTTATTTGGAGAATGATTTGTTTTTGAATGTTAGCATGGAAGATATCATGAATCGATATCAAAACATGAAAACTCGTCGAGAACTATTTTAATAAGTTTGCATTACTATTTAGTTGTCTTTTATAGTATTATATGAACATTTGGTTGTATTTTGTACTGTTTGAATATTTGGATGTATTTTTTAGTACTATTATTTGGTTGTTTGGTAAAAAAATTTTTTTTACATATTTGATTATCGATTGTGACTCACCAGTCGGAAAATCCTGGGTCCGCCACTGTCGGGGATCATATATTACTTGTAATGATGCAGGCTCATCAGGTATGCAATTTAAAAAGCTCACTTATCTTGGATATTTCTACAACTATAAGTGGCGAAACATTGACCACCTGCTAGTTCAGAAAAATAGATTATGCTAGTTCAAACACCTAAGAAACTGAAAATTGAGCTAGTTTAGGCACCAAGCATCTGCTACCCTATGTTTTGTTGTACTTTATATGTGGGGTTTTGATTTCTGTATTGAATTTATTTGTGACTAGTTTTGTCTAATTAAAGATATTATTGGTTTTGATTTATGTGTTGAATTTATTTGACTAGTTTTGTCTAATAAGTGACTGAAGTTTTTCAATTGAGTTTTGATGCTTATTTTCTTTTATATCCACTCAATTTGTGCATTGACCATGTTGGAAGAGTTCACTGGTGACCGTCTGAAACAACCTTTTTTTTAATTTTGGCTTTTTTTTATGTTTATATTTTTTTGCCATGCAGAATTCTGTTGCAATTTCAAGTGCTTAGTGTGAACAACTGCTATCCTATACAATACAGAAGAGTCAAATTTATGAAGCAGACAGAGAAAATCGACAAAATCATCAAATTTTGAAGGTTGACCATTGTAGCAATTAACTAACTAGCTTTTATTAGTTATAGAGTATTGTTTATTGTGAATTGTGAGATAAATATTTGTAATTTACAAGTACATAAATTCAATATAATTTACAAGATGTCGTTTAAAGTTGGTCTTGTATTGGTTAGATTGATAGTTATTGTATTTTATAAAAGTTTATTAACAATTAATGGTATTTACGTTAAAAAAATATAAATGTAGTGTACGGGTGGTGGCAGTAGAGGAATTTTCTATTTGCTACTGTTACCATTTTATTTATTTATTTCATAATAAAAACACTATTCGTAACTGGCGTTAGGCTATGTAAGTTACAAATAATATTCTATTTGTAACCGGCATAACTTAACGCCAGTTACAAATAGTATGCTTTCTAACTTGGAAAATAGCCTATTTGTAACCGGCGTTAGTTTAAGCCAGTTAGGAATAGTACATTATTTGTAACTAACATGAGCCGGTTACGAATAATTTTCATTAGTTGTAATGGTGGCATTCGCAACCAACAATGCCAGTTACAAAAAGTCAATTTCGCCAGTTACAAATAGCATTTTTTCTACTAGTGTTTGACCAACACCGGCGGATTAGGCTTTCGCTTTTTAACGGCTGGTGGGGCCGGATGATCATCCTTGACCTCATCAAGGTCAATTGGCTCTTGGCCCTGTACGGCTGCAGCTGCCGCAGGCTTGACGTCCGAGAGATATCATTCTTGGGCCATCTTCTGGTCCCCGTTCAGGGAGCCAACAGTCCCATCATCCTTCTCATACTTGACAAGCATAAGATCTGGAATGATGACGGCCTTACACTCGTTTAGAGTGGGTCGGCCAAGGATGAGGTTGTAGGCGGTCAGCTCCTCGACTACCAAGAACCGGATGGTCATATGCCGACCGCTACCTTTTTTCCCAGTCGGATGGGCAAATCAATGCGTCCAACTGGATGCACAACTCCTCCCCGAAAGCCCACTAGGGGATGGGAGACATCCGTCATACTATCCGGCCTGTATTTCAGGTTGGATAGACATTTGTAGCTAATGATGTCTGAGGAGCTTCTTGTGTCAATCAAGAAACGACCAACCAATTGGTTGGCCATTTTGCATTCTATGACCACAAGGTCATCATGCGGCCGACGAACTTTGCTTCTGTCCTTTTCGGTGATGATGATTTCAGGGAAGGCATATGTGCTGGCCACCTGTCCCTCATCAACAGAGTGGACCATCTTTCTTAGATGTCCTTATTTCCTCGGATGTTTGGACCACCACCGGCGAATCCGCCTGCTATCGTATAGACGGGTTCTTCATCCATATCAGAGCTGATAGCAGGCTGGGGAGTCTTTTTGCTTGACTTCCCAGGTTTTGATTTTGAAGCCACTTTGGACTTCATATAGGATTTCAGTGCTCCTTTATCGGCTAGACGGTCAAGCTCCCGCTTAAGGCTGAAGCAGTCGTTGATGTCATGGCCGACATCCTCATGGTAGTTACATCGTTTGTTTTTGTTCCGATTTTCAGCGGAACCTTTCATAGGAGTCGGCTTCTCAAGAGTCAGCCGATCCTTAATCTCCATGAGGTAGCTGTCCTTGTGGAACTCGAACCTTGGAACGTACGGTTTCCACTCTTTCTTTTTCTTCTGGACCGGCTGATCGGAGTTATCAACCGCCCAGATTTGTTTTTTCTTTTTTCTCTCTTTTGGTTTTAGAGACTGCTAAGCAGGCCGACTCTCCTTCTGTCGGTCGGACTTCTTAGCGTCCGACTGCTTATTAGAGGAGCAAAGCTCGGTCGCCTGTATATAAGTGTCCGCCTCCATTAGGGCTCCTTGGAGGGTGAAGATTTTCTTTCGGACGAGTTCGAACTTGAAAGTCGACCCATCCTTCAGACCTTTGAAAAAGTCTGTGAAAGCCACTTCGTTAGACAGTCCTTGTATCTGGATTATCACCAGATTGAACCGCCTGACGTATGAGCGCAACCCTTCTCTATCTCCCTGCTGCACATGGCCTAAGTCAAGGCTCATTTTCTTTGCAGGGATGTTCATAGAGAAGTTAGAAGCAAACAAGAACGCAAGCGTCTTGAAGCTGTTTATGCAACCAGCCGACAGGTTGCCAAACCACTGCTGGGCTATGCCCTTCAGGGTAGCTGGTTGGCATCGACACCAGGCGACATCATCCAACCCCTGTAAGTACATGAGGTGGGTGTATGCCAAGAGGTGGTCTTCAGGGTTAGAAGTACCATCATAAGTTCCAACCATGACATTTTTAACCTTGGTCGGCTGCTCGGCCTCAGCTATTTCCTTTGAGAACGCAGAGGGATGCTCCCCAAGGTTTTGTAGCCGAAGCTGCCAGTCCAAGGGCTGGTAATTGTATGCCATCTGTCCTCCGAAGAAGGCAGGCTGGATGTAAGGTAAAGCAGGCAGTCTGTATGGTGGCTATGCCACATACTGCGCCGAATTGATTATGTGAGGTCCCGACTGTACGAAGGGGCCGCTTGAAGGAGTCCTCGGCCCGGAAGGAGAATTCCTCACCGAGGTGTTTTGAAAGCTGTCATGATAAGTCGACGTTGAAGCCGACTCGGACAGCTGCTGATTCCTTAGCTGTTCGATGTACTGACGAGCATCATGAAATGTCTGTTTGCTACCATCCGGCTGAACATGCCGGATGGCTTTCCTTTTCCCTATTTCAGGGAAACAGAGTCTTGATAGGTCGAATGGAGTCCGAGTCTTCTCCGGATGAGGATTCGGTTGTCGGTCTCGGACCGACTTCTGTTGCCCAAACTTGGCAGGCTTTGTGGCCGACTGCTCCTTTCTAGAAGCAGTCGTCCGCTTGTTGATTAGTCCTTTGATTTCACCCCTGAGGCTACTCATGAATTTTATGAGCTCATCATGGGTGACTGGGGCTGATCCTGCCACCTAGGAGGCATCAGTCGCATTCCCTGTGGGATTACCGGATCCAGGGGGCCTGTTAGCACCCGCCTGGTTACCATTGCGCTCTCGCCCGTCTCTCTGGCGGAGGCGCTTAGAGATGAGTGACCCATTAGGAGCCACATAGGTTTCGACATCAGCGTCGTCACTTGATTCATGTTCCATCTGGACATGTACTTCTTCTAGAGGCCGAGTGGGCTCTAGAGGCGGCACATGATTTTCTTGAGAAGCCATCTTAGAGGTACTTTCCCCATAAATAACGCCAAATGTTTCGGGTTTTTTGTGTCCCTTGGGAGAGTTACAGCTCAAGACTGGATTCACAAGGTTGCCTGTACCTGCAAAACAAACGGACCGCGCGGATGGTTGGTGGTCCGCCTCCGAAGATTAAGTTAGTATAGGGTTCGAAGTAAAATGTGCGAAAATTTAGGTATCTGCTCGGATTCCAAGCTTAGGTGCTGTCCGTTTCTTGGGAACAACAACTCAATATTAATTTCAATAATTAATGCAAAGTTATTATATTGTCCAATCCTCTTCA